TATTTACTTTACAAAGATCGTCTGTTTTTCAGTAAGAACGAGGTTCAAGGTATACAAGTCTTTTTCCTTATATAATGTTATTCAGGATCTACCGCACAGCGACAGCACGTGAAAATACTGTTCATACCACAGCAGTTTTCCAGAACTACAACCTACAGAGTCTGGGAACCTAGAACGCTAAAGTACCAGGGTCCATTTTAGTTAAGAGAGTACAGCCTCTGCTTTGTTCATGGGCACTGATTACTTTTCAAGTTCATTTGATTTTGGGCTGAGTGGACACCTACCGTCCTTAGAGTGGGCTTTTCCATTCAGACTTCAAAAAAGATGAAAGCCGCTGGGGTATCCCAGGAGGAAATTAAGGAAAGATTGCATAGTTTTTCCGACTGGAACGAAACAAACAAATTATCTACCAGTTACTAGCTAGTCTTTCAATCTAGTAATGACTGAATACACAATACTTGTTTAAAATACGGACAGACGCTGTTGGGCCGTGTGAAATTCTTAACTGTCTCGAAAAGCGTGTGACTGGAAGGGTTATTCAGGCCCGAATTTTTCACTGTTACTGTCTACGTGGGACAACAATACGCATATATACTTGGTGATACAGTAGTCAATTATTCAAAGCCTGATCCATCATACTTTTGAATTTTTTTCGAAAAACAGGCATTAGTGCACTTCTGGTTGCTAGACTTGTGTTTGCAAATGAACATTCCTGCAGTTCATGGTAATGCCATCGAAAAGGTTTAACACGAAAGAATAAGTGCACACGTGTTATGGACGGGTGCCTTCTAGACAGATGTACTTTTTAACTCTACAAAATCGCTTCTAGTACGTTGTTCAGCCTAAGAAGAATTCCCTTGTCAATGAAAATTTCAGGTAAGTTGGTAGCCAACCGCTGTTGAGAGCTAATACGGGTCTGTGAATCCAATTAATCGCTCCTAAGATTCAAACCTGCACATTCCGCACTTCACATATGCTGATCCACCAGTGATCTTCTGCAGCAATAGTATCTAATTTTTCTAGATTGCAACCGAAAGTCAGATGATTCAAAACGTAGTTTGTGTAGGATGTAGGCATATCAACCTACTTCTTTCGCTTTGTCGTCAGGAAAACGCTCACTGCTGCGTGAGTTGAACGCAACCTTATTTCTAGGGTTCTCCTGACGATGCTATAGCGGTTAACGTCGCGGAGATGCCCGTGCTCTATCGACTAACATGTTGCGTCGTGTGACTGTTCACTTTTTTCCCTAGTAATGGACTCAAACAATTGTGTAGTTTGGAGCTGCATGTTGTGCGACCTGAGAGTAAATACGGTCTATATGCCAACTAATAGAATGGAATTGGCGACGCAGGGACTGGATATCAGTGGCGGAAAATTGGTGATGAAGCCGGCCGATATCCGTCAAACTTGGAAGTAGCGAAAACACCATCATATCGGTAGGTTTTGACTAATGCGGTATTGTTTTAATGAGACTGAACTGTGTCGAATACAAAACTGTAGAATACAAAAAAACGATGTAGTTCAGTATTAACCTAACTTAGTCGATTTCTGTCGAAAATGTTCACATTGTCTCTGACAACGGAAATTCCGTCATCCGAACGAATTCTCACGATAATTCTCCGCTACTGGCCTTGTGGAAGTAGCATAAATAACATATTAAGATTTACCGACATCCCTCGGTCGGATGTTGACAAAGCAGGGACGGTTTGAAGCAAATCGTGTCGGATCAAAATGGTGCAACTACTTCAAAAGTGAATCGACGTTTATACAAAGAAAACTTTAGTCTGTTAAGTTTTTTTTTCAAAATCCCAATGTTGACGACTGAACAGACGGAGGCATGGTCATGAACCGAGTATTTCAGTCGCAGCCCACGAAGTTCACACGATCTGGACGGCTTGGCAAACAAACCCCACTTTATAGATAAGCGTCCACAGGGGATTCAGTAACCAACTTCCGTTGGGACGTCTAAAACACGGCAACACACAGTATATTCATTCACTTCGTACCAGTCACTTTGTGTTACAGTTGTCATTCCGATCAGCCAATCAGGCGTATCAGTGGGTGCACTATTAACGTCGACAGAACATTAGCATGCAACTCTGATATTTTTCTACCGCTCAACCATAATTTAGTTGAAACCATCATTGTGAATAAAAGAATAGAAGCGGATTAGAAAGAGACCTATTACTAGCCTACCAAGATCACTCCTAGGTGCAGTTTGAATAGGAACTGGCAACCAAAAGGCCATCAACATCGATTAGCAGCCATATGTTGCAGCTATGTACAGTAGAAATCACTCGGACCCTATTGTGGAAGGGAACTTGCAGTGAAAGTAACCAGACTTTAGTAAATGCCTTCATAAACCTCTGACAGGTTAAAGGTTGACCACCTGTCTGCTTGCGCCACTCTGACCTGAGCACGGAAAACAGCACACTTTTCGGCAATCGACGATTCAGCATTGGCAACATATGACCAGACAGCTGTATTTTTTGGGCGTGGACACATTCTTTGAATAAAGTCCCGGTTGCGCAATCGAAAACTAGCTTCCTACTTGTCTTGTTGAGAATTCAATGGTACCAGTTTACACGAGCTGTAGTTCGGAAACAACGGTTATTGACAAACTGAAGACGTCTCAGTTCCGTTGCCGACGAGGCCAGGTCCCACAACCATACAACAAGATAACCTGTACCGTAGCCTGATACACATGTTCCTTGAGACTCAGGAATATACCGCCATAGGTGACTAAAATTAGCAAACGAGACCTGATCGTTGGAGGCTCGTGCGTTGATCCCATCTGTCACACTACAATCGGGACATATACAACTTCCAGTATAAATAAATGGTCTACAAACTCGGGTGCCTTTCCTGAAATTGTAAGTTGCATGTTCGTTGACTGGATGTCCGGGAACATAGACTTACACATTGTACATGCTAAAGGAGACCGGAACGATTTCGACTGCATATCTCAGATCAACAAGCTTTTCGCTAGAAGCTATTTGAGCACTAGGGTTTTGAAGACCTTTCGGCGTCTGTCGCATTATCTCGTCTATCACGAATTCGAATGGATATAAGGGAGGTGAACGTCCCTGTTAGATAAGTTTTTTTGTACGGTAGCTTTTGGAGAGCTACCCTTATACTCACCTGCAAATCTGACTGACTATATATATATAT